TTTTGCACTCTGCAGACCTCCCAAAAATGGCCCTTTTTTGTCAAAAAAAGGGGCATGGATAGCCTTTAGGAGGCTTATAGAGTGCTCCTGAGGGCTGGGGCAAAAATGAGCGAAAAACAGGCTGTTGTTTGCTCATTTTTGCCCCAGCCCTCAGGAGCACTCTATAAGCCTCCTAAAGGCTATCCATGCCCCTTTTTTTGACAAAAAAGGGCCATTTTTGGGAGGTCTGCAGAGTGCAAAAACTGTTTTTAAAAATTTGCCTCTTCAAAATCTTGGTGAGTCTTATACTCCGGTGTGTCTTACCAGTCCGAAAAATACGGTATCTGGATCTGCTTCACATATTGTGCACACCCAGCTATCAATTTTAACAGTTGTCCCTAAAATAATCTTAACGCTGTGAAGACACCAAAATATGTATTTTTCTCCTTCAGCCAAAGGCTCATAAAACTTCAAACCAAGATTACCTATTGGTGTGGGTGCAGATAAGCACACGTGTCTTGGACTTCTTGATGATCTCCAGGGTAGTCTTGGCCAATGTGAAGGTCTTCCCAGTCCCAAATGGTCCGTAGATCAAAAGAGGTGGTGTTCTACAGAAACCAGTCACCTGACCAGTGATGAAGCTAAAAGCTTGCTTCTGCTTTGCATTCCCCCATGGCACCTGTGAAGTTCCACATGGGATGGAGCAGGCGGCCACATCTGGAAAGACCAGCTTCACATCCCATAAGTTGTCCACAGCCTGGTGCCATTGGCAGAATTGAAGCTGGTCCATTTGGATCTGGACTTCCATCTTGGCAAACGTGTCTGGTTGGAGGCCCAGTTCCCTGCAGCAACGTTGGGGAAGGAGAAGACAGATGCTCTTTTCAGTGAGGGCTTCTTTCTCGATGGAGACCTCATAAACCCGGTTGTTAGCAGGTGGATCTTGGGAGAGGAGGGCCGTGTTGACTGAGCGCTGGAGCAGGTACCCTTCGTCGGAGTCCATGGTCAACGAGTAAGGGGTCACGACCTGGGCGTAAAGGTGTTGTGGGGGAGCAAATTTCAGCCCCGATGGGAAGACTTCCACACTGTTTACGAAGAAGACCATCGCACGCAAGTTGAGCCTAGATCAGAAGAAGAAGATCAGACAGGGGAAGAGGAGCAGAAGAAACTGGGGGAAAGAGAAGACAAAACAACAGGAACAATGGGACTCTCTGCCTGTATCTCTTTCAGGGGTGGGTTCCTGCCAGTTCTAACCTCTTCTATAGAAGGGGTTCCACAAATCTACAGTGCCGTTTAGAACCGGTTCCAGCTCCCTCCCCCTTCCCATCCTCACATCATCAAGATGAAGAGCGAGAGGAGGAATTCTGGGAGTTGAAGTCCACAAGTCTTAAAGCTGTCAAGTTTGAACACCCCTGGGGGGGTGTTTCTAAAGGTTTTAGGGGTGCGAGAGTCTTGTAACTTGACA